ATATTAAATTATACATTCTGATTACGTAGTCAGATGTTAAGTTTGATTGAAATTTACAAGGGCGGATCCAGAGATGTCCAAAAGTTGGAGCCGATCGAGATAATACTCTCCTAGGGGCCCCCACAAAATTTTAGTGTTCTACACGCCCAAAAATAACCTCTGAGGCGTTTTGGGCAATCAATTTTTTTCTTTTTCTTCCTTTCTTTTTTTTCGTTCCAAAAGTTGGGGGGTGGTGGGGCACCCCCCAAACCCGCCCCTGATTTAGGAATGGTTGATCATATTGAAGAGTGTGAGTTAACCTCTCTTACTGAACATGAGGATTGTCCTAGGAATGAAAGTGGAGTGTTGTATCCCTCTACTGTAAGAACTGAAAGTAATGTCTGTGTGCCCTCCAGGAATGAAGGGAAGTTTTTGTGTCCATCAGAAATGACGGTGGGGTTCTTGTTCACTCTAAAAATGAAGTTGAATTCTTATGCCTTGTAGAAGAAAGTGAAGTCATTCTGCCATTTAGGAATAAAGATGAAGTACATGTTCCCTCTTCAAAGTGAAGTAGACCTTTGCATCCTGTAGAAATGAAGGTGGAATTCTTGTGCCCCATAAAAATGAAGGTTGAGTTCCTCCTTAGAGTATCATATCTCTCTTTTATTGTTTAGAAATTTTATAAATATAGACTCTTCACAGAATAACGCAACATTGTCATTAATGTTTGTATTGCAGGTGACATTGTATTAAAGGAGTATGACGAATAGTAGCATTCTAATTTATCAACATTCCACAAATTGTATACGTCGATGACCCGTGGCCAGTGACCAGTGGCCAATATACATTTCACAATGAAGAAACATAGAACTTTCCTAACAGTTTGCATATTACTTTTTCTATGCTGGAACATGGGTGCATATTACTTTTTTGTTTATGGAGCCAAAAGAAAAGACAAACAGGTGAGTGAATTTTCTATTATAATTTATTAAACATTCAACTATTGAAGATGATCCTCATAATTGAAAGAAGACTATATTTACTGACAAATACTTGTAAGTGCTAGGAATGCTGTTTTAGTTCTAAACTAGCACAGCAAGTCTTTCATTACATTATCACAGCAACATCTTGAGTGTCCACATTCAAGTCTGCTGTTCAGTAAGTCTGTGCTTACCAAGGGACTAGTATTCTTAACAAATAAAATTAAGTGGAGTATGACAGAGCTTATGATTCAGACGTCGCTACATCACGGTACCATGTGACACTTCTACGTTACTAAGCAACTATCTACCGAGTGGTCATTCCACTAGAGCTACAGCTAGCCTCAGTTTTGCAGAGGTTGTTCAACTGGTGTATCAAAACCTATACTAAAAAATCCTATTAAAATACAAAAACATAATAGTTATGCTATATATAATAATTGTCAATGTAAGTTTACAGCATAAAATAAAAATAAAGATACAGTGGTGTAGAGTTATGTAATACCCGATTCACACGTACAAAAATCTTACCAAATGTAACAAAATGTAACCAAAAGTAACATTTTACGGCACGTGTGAAAGTACCTCCGTGTAATATCCTTGTAAAATCTCGGAACGTCTTGGTAATCTTTAATAGCCTCGCTGAGGCTGGTAAAGCTTCCAAGATGTAGCATGGATGGATCTGCGCATGCGCAGGGATTTCAACACTACAACAACAACAATCTACTGTGTTTCACAGGGTTCTTTGAATTTTCTGCTTTCTGCAGACGATTCTGATCCACTAGAAATAGATAGGCCTAGTTTTTCTCAATGATGAATGAATTACCCTTGTTATTGATGTTAATTAGTAATGGTAGAAGAAGAAGGAGATATACATAAAATGAACGTCGGGATGGTGTTAGTATAGTATTAACAAGAGTCGACAGAAACGTCGGAAGCTATGCCTAGTTTAGTAGTAGTAGTAGTACAGCAGTTGTTAAGGGCATTGATTGCTTCGAATGTTTACTGTGATGGTGAGTTCAGCAGTCCATCTGTGACAGGGGTTCTCAACTAGACCTAGGCTAGACCTATATCGCAGTAGGGGAAAAAATGATTCATTGAATAAACACTGAATAAATTTTACACGACCTTGGCATTACCTTACAGACACGTGTGAAAGCTTTTTATCTCGGTAGGAATAACTCGGGAGATCGCTCGGTTACAATTTGTTACTTTTTGTTAAATTTAACTTCACGTGTGAATCGGGTATAAGAGTGTCAGTTGAAGAGGCTGTGTAAACTGTACAAGGCACTTAGCTGTATCGACTGCTTGTCTAGCATTGCATAGTAATGAAGGGGTGTCAGGAGGTGTTTTAATGTCACTGACGTAGTACTCTTTATGAGAGTCAAGGAAAGGTATATATTGTTGGTTCTGAAAAGCATTATGGCATCTTTCAGGAATGGAACCCAGGATTTGCACTCACCATTGGAAAGGCATCTCACTACCAATACCTTTACCCAAAATTCTAATTTACAGTTGTTCCATAGTTTTTGAAGAATGATTTCAGCACTTAAATTAAGTGTACCGATGAGTTTTACTACTAATTCTGTAAGATATTGTAGTACCTGTATATTTCTGGTGCAGATGGTTAAGCTGAAAGTTTAATCAAATGTTAACTTGAAACAATATTGATATGCATTGATAATGTTGTGAATTGTGAGGTTTTTGTATTTCACACAGAATGTACATTTCTATATTTTTTCATTCATTCATTCTTTTATTTACATATATATTCATGTATTAATTTATTCATTAATTTATTTATTCATAATTTATTTACTTATTCATTTATTCATTTATATCTTTCATCTTTTCATTTATGCATAAAGCATTCATTTAATATTTCCTTATTTGTTTGTTTAATTTTATATATTTCAAAGCATTACAAATATTTAACTTAATAAATATAGCCTGATGCTTATCTAAAGGTAAATTACAACTAGAAAAAATATTACAATTTACAACTAAAAAATGATGAAAATAATAATTCATAAAGTTCAATTTATTATAAAAATAAAATAATAGTGATTATATTTGATAAAATGAATGGTTTTTTTATGGTAGATATTCTAAAAATACAGAAAATGATTGAAAAGGGAAACCTTCAAAGTATTCATTTCAATAAAAAGAATCATTAATTTGGCAATTATCATTATGAATAAGATCTAAAATTAACCACAAGAAACTTCAAAACAAATCTTCACTATATTCTAGTTTCATTATCGGTAACTGATATATTGATGAATTAAACTTCTATATTTTAATCTCATTGAACTGTTCCATAGCTCATAAATCCTTGACATTAAAATGGTTAATACTTTAATAAATTGTAAGTTTAGATTCAAAGCTCAGAGTAATGAAAAAATAATATAGGAAAATTAACATCATGTATCAGATGTACAGAATCAATCACAAGCTAAGTTTCTTGGAAAACACAGTAAAATGAACTTGCTGTACTTAACTATAGAGTAGTTACAGTATACCAAGGGTATTTACATATACATTTTCATGAGCCAAGGAATTGATTGGATAATACTGGAGAAAGTTGGATCAAGTCAGATCAAGGTTTAATATCGTATAATTATAATTAAAAGAAAAATTGGATCTTGAATTTTGTTGATATTATTTTTCAGATATACAGTGTAGTATTGTACATGAGGTCATACAACATAGTTTTGATATTAAAATTAAACATATATCATAGAGAATAAACTTCTACAGTACAACTGTATGATACATGCAGTCTTTCAAAACATGACATAAGACGTTCACAATGATTACACACTGTTTAATCCACCTGTCACATTCTTAGCACCACCATATTATTCTTAACACATCTTGATGACAACGAAAATGGCTGTTCGATCACTCACTATCACTTGGCTAGGAACTAATTTGCATACAAACAGCACCTCTATTGGCTTAATTTTAACAACTCGCAGCGCATTATCGGTAGAGAAGAATTTTGTTTATTGCATACAGTTTTAATCTTCACCAAATTAATTTTTTTTTTAATGTGGATCAATTACAAGCTAATTAATAAAGCAGTTTTTTGGGTTTTTTTTTCTTTATAAAGTAAGCATCTCATAATACACACTCACACCCAACAAAAAGGGGAATATAACAATTATGGTTCACACCGCAATAGTAATAAGGCATTTCATAGTTTGAACTGTGCATGCCCTTATCAAGGTCAATCGAGATTAACAAACATACACACAAAGTAGGTTTATGCTGATGGACCTCGATTGACCTTGGATACAGGCATGCGCAGTTAAAATGGCTTATTGTACTATGGGGCTGATATTTAACTAAAATAATGGAATGAAGAAAATATTAATACATTATGATGATACTACTGGCTACTGTGGCAGTCTCTGTCCAGCATCAATTGCCATTGTGATTGTCCAACAACAATTTAAATTTTAATGCATTCTGTTTGCATACAGTATTCCTACCTTATTGCTGCATATATTAATAAATTCATTAAGGAAAGGTGAATACAACCAGATATTGTTTCTCAAGGCCCTTTCGAGCTGCAATTATTGTTTTTAATTCTTATTCATTTAGGTTCCTCATAGTTCAAGGATTACCAATAGCAAACTTAGGGCGTGTTTCTATTGATAAACAAAATAATAGATTTTTTAAACGCTTTTTTAATGAGTGCCCAGACAGCCTGCCAGCATTGCAACTGCGGAAATTACGTCACCATTTTCTTTATATAACACGTTTTCCAAACTGTATAGTTCTTTCTCACCAACAAGAGAATATATTTTACGTCATGATGTCGAGGAGGATACGGTGTGCGGCAAAGAAAGTGAATGCTTTTGGCTGTGCTTATTGGCACAACAAGTGAGGACAACGGTAGACTCGAAAGAGCGGAGAAGCCTGGGTCCAATATTCCCCACAAAATTATTACAAAAGGAGTAATTTCGTAGCTCCACATGTTTGTTGATGTTTTAGTTTGTAGGCCTAGGACATAAAAGAAAGCACTAATCATTTTGAAAGTTCAGGCATGATACGATCTAGCTTTGTAGTGGTTTGACCTGGAGGTCACATCTCACCTGCTGTAATTGCTTTTTGTGTTGCAGCTAAATAGTGCACAGCCAAAATGGGTTCTTTGCAGTTCAAACACGCTATTCATTGTGTGTTTTTAATCAATTCTTTTACATCTCTGTTTTCGAACTGGTCCCGTTTCTACTGAGAGAAAAAAGTAGAACAGTAGAAACAGGCCCTTAATGTGTTTTTGTACAGTGTTAGTGGCCATTCCTTTCACAAGACAAATGAATACAGTACATACTATAGGCCTACACATGATGATCAACAAAACTAAGTCTTGTTTAACTTGAGGCTTGATAAGACAAGATTTGAACTCGAGACTGAGGGATTGAAAGACAAGCACCTTTAACCATTAGGCCGAAACTCTACTGTAGGCACAGGAAAACACCATAAGTTACTATGCTTTGAATGTTTAATTTATATCACTGCTCCAACATCTCACCTTGTTCTACAATGAATTACGGCCGTTTGCAACATTTGCACGTCGCAGGATAGACACCTGGATTATGAATAATCAAATGGCGTGTCCAATGTCCCGAGCAGTGTGCATGGTGCATGACTATTATAAGAAATCTGTAATCTTTTCTTGAAATGTCTTGTGATATAGTTCAACTTAGAATTACTACATTAACCTAGAATGTGCTCATATGAAATATGATTTTTTGATACCAGTAGTAAAAGGTTTATATTAGTGTTATATTACTATATTTAAATTTACTTTAGTAGAATAAAATTTTACAAAGTATTTCTAATGATTGCATTCAAAATTTGAGATGATGATTCAAGTTGGATTTTTTTTTCTTGTAATTTCAAAATATGATTCAGTATGCGTGAATGTACAATGCGTATCAATACTGTGCCGTCTTGTAGTTGCAACTGCATAT